ACAGTCCTCATTTCTGAATGCTTTAAATAAAATACAGAAGTTAAAGGGAAGACTGAAGCTAATCTATGAAGGAGCAAGGAAAGCACTGACCTAAGGAAAACCTCAGGCGGCCGGGCACTGCGCTTCACAGGGCGGTTTTGTTCTGGTTCCAGAAAAGAGCGAAACGATGCAGGGCTCAAAGGCAAGGAGTGCTATAGGTCTTGTGATGCACAGCACAACCTCGCAGCTGTCCACAAGCGCAGAAGGGCATTTCCTTCCTCGATTAAACAGGCAGATGTGGGCTGTAGCTGGAAGCGCATCAGTTGGGTCTGAAAAGCGATGCAGCACATCAGCTTACACTCTCAGTAGGCTTCTGTCAGTGTACAGAGTAGTGCTCCCTTTAAGCTCACTGCTGACACCCCTGTCAATCTTATAATTTCCCTCTAATTAAATGTCATCTGACTGCTCAATGTAGAGGAAAACCAGCTCCAGCCTCCAGATTCATTTCTTAATGACAAAGAAATTTAGGCATGCTGCATGTCACGCTCAGGTATTTCCTATTTCAATTCATCCCATCACCCTGCTCTACAGCTGCTTTTCCCAGCCCACGAACCAGGATTCCCCTGGAGGCTGCTCTGTCACTGGGCCAGGCAAGGCCTCCAAAGCTCTGCTGCTATCAGCCCCTCTGGCACAGTGCCGTACTTCTGCCTGGGCAGGAGAGCTCTGAGAGAATGGGGAGGATTGAAGCAAGGCTGAAGCCTTGCCCCAGTTCCTTGCCTTACCTGTGGGCTGTCCCCACATTTAGCTTTGCTGTTACGCTCCCATTCCTCAGGTTCCTGGGAGTCACAGCTGGCACTGCAGAGAGAAGTGTGTCTATTCTCTCCGGAAAACTCGTAGAGAGTTTCCTTGTTTCTTTTTGCCTTCTATGCTCAACCATGACCAGCTTTTACAGAAATTCAGGTGCTCATAACGTTTTTTAATGCTCTGTAAAACTTACCACAGGCAAGGAGACTTAGTGCCTCAGGTACGCAGCAGTTTGAGTGATCCAAGTTCTTGTCTTTTCTCTGCCTGTGAAAGCTGAACATGAGTCAGCAACATGCCCCTGCAGCAAGGCAGCTGGTGGTGTCCTGGCTGTGTGATGACGGCATGGCCAGCAGGCCAAGGGGTGAGCTGAGGTCACAGCTGGAGCATGGAGCTCAGGTCTGGGTCCTCAGTACAAGAGAGACCTGGGCTGTGGGCTGGACACAACGCAGGGCCACCTGTGAGCAGAGGCTGAGAGAACCAGGCCTGTTTAGCCTGAAGGAATTTCCCAGGGATCTCACCAGTGTTAATAAATACCTGAAGGGAGGGAGCAATGAAGCCAGGCTCTTTACAATGGTTCCCAGTGTCAGGATGAGAGGCAGTGGGTGCAACCTGGAACACAGGATGTTCCCTCAGAGCACCAGGAGCACTTCTGTGCTGTGCAGGTGACGGAGCGCTGGCACAGGCTGCCCACAGGCTGTGTGTGGGCTCTGCTGCTCAGAGACCTTCAGCAGCTGCCTGGATGTGGGCCTGGGCCCCTGCTCTGGTGTGCCTGATGGAACGGGAGTTGGGCCTGATGGGCACTGCCAGCCTCAGCCAGTTTGGGGTCCTGTGAAATTGTTCATGCAACAAAACTGCTGAAAGTTGTGGAGTGCAGGTCTTATGGGGAGCAGTTGAGAGAACTGGGATCGATCAACCTAGGGAGGAGAAAGCTCAGGGGAGACCTTGTTGCTCTCTACAGTCGCCTACAAGGAGGCTGTAGCGAGGTGGGGATCAGTCTCTTCTCCCAGGATACCAGCAATAGAACAAGAGGGAATGGCCTTAAATTATGCCAGAAGATGTTCAGGTGGGATATTAGGAGGAAAAAAAAACCTATACTCGGAAAGAGTGGTGAGGCAGTGGCAGAGGCTGCCCAGGGAGGTGGTGGAGTCAGCATCTCAGGAGGTGTTCAACAAACACAGAGATGTGGCACTCAGGGGATGGGCTGGCAGTTGTACCAGACGGTCTTAGAAGTCTTTTCCAACCTTAATGACTCTAGAATTCTATGCAAACAGCTTCTGAGACTTCAGAAGAATGTGGCTGTATTCCTGCCTTGAATCCCTGAATCCTACTTTGGTAAATAGTATCACTTTTTTACTTACTTGCTTAGTTGCCCCCGAGCTTCACACCGTGAGGAGGAAGCACTGAGAACTACCACCTGAGCTGGGCTCCTCACCTGCTGGAACGCCGGAACGAAGGCACCCGGGGCAAGCCGGTCTTTATCATCACGAACCTGGCAGCTCGTGCCCCTTTCCCACCTCGGAGCCGCGCCGGCCGGCCGCACCGCAGGGCTCCGCGTCCGAGCGCTCGCCTCGCGCCTCGGGAGGGCGCTGGGGTGCTGGGAGCGGCGCCGAGCGGAGCCGTCGCGGCCCCGGTGAGACGGGGCGACGCAGGGAGGGTGCAGGAACCGGGGACCCGGCATGTCCGCCTCCCTCCGTCCCCCCGGGGCCGCCAGGTGGCATCGCTCTGCGGTGCCCGAGGGAAGCGGCGTGCAGGTGCCAAGGGAGGAGCCGCGCGGACAGGGGCCGGCAGCACCTCGCCCTTTCCCACCCCTCCGCGCACACACGCACACCCGAGAGGCAGGGACGAGCCCGGCCACCTCCCCCCTCCTCCTCCTCCTCCTTCATGGCCTCGCACCCCACCCGCTCCCGCCTCCGGGTCCCCGGGGGTGCCGGGAACACCCCGCGCCCGTCACTGGGACGGGAGGCGGGGCCGCCGCCGTATAAGAAGGCACCGAGCGGCCGCCTGCACTGCCAGGTCCCGAGACGCGCCCGCGGGGAGCAGCGCCCGGCGCAGCACAGCGCAGCACAGCGCAGCACAGCAGTCCGGAGCCGCTCCGCAGCCCGGTAGCGCTCCGCAGCAGCAGGCAGCAGCCCGGCCCCGCTCCCCTCCGCCCGTCGGAAGCTGTGGAGCCGCGAGCGGCGCGCAGCAGCGGGTGGTGCCCGCGGCCCCGAGCCCCCATGAGCGCCGCCGCCCTCTACAGCCTGGACTCGCCGGCATGCTATAGGAGCTGGTGCCCCGAGCCCGCCAACTTCTACGACGCCAAGGTGGGCAGCGGCGGGCCGGGCCCCGCCTGCAAGCCGGGCGGCCGCGCCATGAGCGCCGAGGAGGCGGCGGGCGGCGGCGGCGGCGCGGACCTGGCCGAGCTGAGCGCGGCCGCGCCGGCCATGTACGAGGACGAGAGCGCCATCGACTTCAGCTCCTACATCGACTCCATGTCGGCCGTGCCCAACCTGGAGCTGTGCAACGACGAGCTGTTCGCCGACCTCTTCAACAGCAACCACAAGCCCGAGCGGGGCGGGGACTACGGCGAGTACCTGCCGCCCGCCGCCAGGGAGCCGGGCCCCGCCGGCAGCGCCCCGCCGGGCGCCGGGCCCCGCGCCGCCCCCGCCTCCTCCTCCTCCTCCCCGCCGCCCTCCTCCGCCTCCTCCGCCGCCTCCTCGCGCGGCGCCCTCAAGCAGGAGCCCGAGTGGAGCGACGCCGAGCTCTCGTCCTCGCTGCTGCCCTCGCAGATCGCCACCTGCGCGCAGACCATCATGAACCTGGGCGGGCAGCCCACGCCGCCCACCTCCCCGGAGCCGGCGGGCGGCTGCTCCCCGCCGGGCTGCCCCGCGCGCTCCCCCGGCCCCGCCGCCGCCGCCGTCGCCTCCGCCGCCCGCCCGGCCCCGCCGCCCGGCGCCCGCGAGCGCGGCGCCAAGAAGTGCGTGGACAGGTTCAGCCCCGAGTACCGGCAGCGCCGCGAGCGCAACAACATCGCCGTGCGCAAGAGCCGCGACAAGGCCAAGCGGCGCAACCAGGAGATGCAGCAGAAGCTGCTGGAGCTCTCGGCCGAGAACGAGAAGCTGCACAAGAAGATCGAGCAGCTCACCCGGGACTTGAGCGGCCTGCGGCACTTCTTCAAGCAGCTGCCCGCCGCCTCCTTCCTGCAGCCCGGCTCGGCGGGCTCCGACTGCCGGTAGCGGCGCGGCGAGGCCGGCCCGCGGGGCGGGCGTCTCTTACCTCAGGGCCGCGCGGAGCGGAGCGGAGCGGAGGTGCCGGGCCGGGCCCACCCGGCGGTGCGCGGCGCTCCGGGCGCGGGGCCGCGGCCTTCGCCGCGAAGAAGCGAAAGGAACCGAAGCTACGCGTCTTTTCGTTCGCTCCCTTAAGTTATTTTTGTAACGGTAGTCCCTGTCTTTTCTACGTGTTACTCGAACCGATGCAGCTATGGTACATCTGTTAACGATCCGAACACCCGTGTGCGCTAGGCGGTAGGACGGCGAGGACCGAGCATGACCTTTTATATCGATTTTTACAGCATTTCTTAAGAATAAAACCGAACGAGTATTTTAAAGACGCTCCGCTCTCGTCTGTGCCGTACGGCTGCGGGCGGGCGCGGCGCTCGGGGCGAGGGAGCGGGGCGGGGCCGCGGGCCGGGGCTGTGCCGGCGGCAGAGCTGCGCTGCGCTGCGGGCGGGGCCGCCCTCCGGCCCGGGCCAGGTGAGGGAACGGGCGCGGGGCGAGCGGCGCGACGCCGCTCTGGCGGGTGCGCGCGGAGCCGCTCTCCGCCCGCCGCACTGAGGGGCTCCTGCCCTTCGCTCTCGCCGTTTACGAAACCCACCCTCAGCCCGAGCTCTTACGGCCGAACCCCATATCGGCACCCCCGGGCGAGCTAGAGGGCAGGGCTCCGATGTTAGCCGGCCGCAGGGACGCGCGGCACCCCCCGAACACGCGGACTCGGAATGCGGGACACCTCAACACAAGCGCTGGTCAAGTCTCAGTGCCATTTATTGCCCGGCGGTAACCGACACCGCCGCTCGGAACCAGCCGCTTCCGTGGGTCCCGCCGGCAGAGCTGCCCCGCGGCATTCATTGCAGAAGCGGCAGCAACGTGTTGGCCGTTGACATAACAGAATGCAAAACGTCCCAACCGTTCGGAACTCCAGAACAAGGCGTTCGACGTGCCATAACAACAAACGGCTCAGCACAAGAGCCGGGGCGGCCGAGCAGAGCTCTGTGCGCTCCGTACACCCCCCCGTTTGACGGCCTCCCTTCTCGACTCCCCCCCGCGTTACCGCGCTCCCGTTCAGCCGCTCGCCCCGCCGGGTCCCGCGGGCAGCAGCGCCACCTCCTCCAGCCGCGAGCAGCCGGGCCGCCCGCCGGCGCCGAGCAGGAGGCAGGGCAGCGGGCCCAGCTCCTTGCCCAGCACGCTGCTCGCCTCGTAGCTCTGCGGGGAGAGAAGCGCGGAGAGTGAGATCGTCCCGGATGCGCGGCTCTCAGACACAGGGCGTAAGGGAAAGTGCTCAGAACGGATGGAAGGAGCGAGCGCTTTGGGTTTCTGCTAATTAATTACATCTCATTGTCGTGTAAAGTGCTGCCTCCCCGCCGGGCTTTTAAAAATGAATCGTTTAAAGTAATGGGGGAGGGGGAGGGAAGTAAGTTTGACCTATTTTGCTGAACCCACCTCTTTCGCTAAACCCACCGGTGCTTCCTTTACGCAGCCTTCCTGCACCGGCGGGACCTCACACGCTGCGTACCGATGACCTCAGCATCAGACCAGCCCTTGCCGTACGCGATAACCACATCCAGCACCCGTTCGAGGTACCGTTCGGCCCCGCAGCCCGACTCGCCGTGCGGCGGCACGGGTGGCCGTGCCGGTCCCACTCGGGGTTGCCATGGGGCAGAAGTGGCTGAGCCCAGCCCCATTGCCCAGGGAAGGGACTGCAAAACATCACCCCCGTGTACCTCAGCAGCACAAATAATAATTTAAAAAACTACCAGCAGCCACTCGAAGTGGTGCTTCTTGTGGTTAATGTACAGAGAAGTGCTGCTTTTTAAAATGCAGCCAGTTTTGAGATGGAAATGCTAATGGGGAAAAAAAAAAAAAAAAGCATCCCTTCAGATAGATAGGAAAAAAAAAAAAAAAAAAAAAAAAAACCAAAAAATAACACCCAAACCCACAAAAAAAGCAAAGCTGTGTTTCAAGGCCAGGCTGGATGTGGCTCTGGGCAGCCTGGTCTGGTGGTTGGCGACCCTGCACATAGCAGGGGGGTTGAAACTAGGTGATCATTGTGGTCCTTTTCAACCCAGGCCATTCTGTGATTCTAAATACCAGCATTATAACAACCGAAACATGAAGAAGAGGTTGTTTGAATCTAATAAATAGAAAAAGTTACATTCTGTCAGCCTGTAATAAAACCAGACACATCCTGAAAAATTTTAAGGACTTTGCAGCTATTTAAAGAGCTAGCGTCGTTTGGAAATGTATTCTTAATGAAACATACACCCTGTGGTATAAGGAAAGTAATACACAATTTCAGAGAATCCTCATACTTAAAGGATTGTCCAAGAATCACATTAAAACCATGGGGCACATAATTGCAGATTACCAGAACGCTGTATAATGTGGGGAAGCAAAGTGAACCCCATAGGTACCACCTAAGTGCAGACACTTACCGAGGATGATTAACCAAAAAGACAAGCTGACCCTTGCCCCCTTCCACGTGCAATGGGAAGAGGGGGTCTCCAGCTCCTACCAGGACTTAAGCACTTTCTGAAGGTGCCGCTCCTTCTCTACTGATCAGCTGGCAGCCAATGGCAGCCACACACCTGCCCTCAGTGCCTCACTTACCTGCGATAAATCTGGGTCACTGTGCCAAATGTCAGGGTTCTTCTGATAGCCCAGAATAAGGAGTAACTACTTCATGGTTACATAAGCTGCACTTTAGCCCATGCATCCCGGTGGCTTACGTGTATTTCATTTATATAGATCCCAATTACAAAGTATTACTTTGCATGCATTTTGCAATTCGTTGTAGCATTACTGCCCCTCAGTAATTTTGTGTTTGTGCCTTGGTTGTTTTTATAGGGTTCAGAAGCCAGGAAAGGTAGAATGCTCAGACTGTAGCTTCACTGTCCGTGGACTCTAAAGCCTGGCACTGCCCACTGTAGCTCTGAATGTCTGGACACTGCTATTGCAAGTAGCTGTGCATCCACATCTAAACTAAAGCTGTCTACACATCCTGCCTGCAGCACCCCTGAGATGCAATAGCAGGGCATCAGCAGGTGCAAGGTGCAATTGCCAAAGGGGAGGTTTGTGCTAGGAGCACACTAACACACTTCAAACCACTCGGACCAGGCTGAACAGAAGAGGAAAAATATTTCTAACGAAATCTCCTACTGCTTTCAGTGCAGTTCTGAGAAGAGCTGCCTGGAAAGGTGGTGGGACCTCTATCTTTGGATGTCTTCAAGACCCTGCCAGACGAAGTCATGATTGACCTGACCATGTGTTGGCAATAGCCCAGTGTGAGGGGCAGGTCAGACACCAACCACAGAATCATAAAATGGCCTGGGTTGAAAAGGACCATAAAGATCACCTAGTTTCAACCCCCCTGCCATGGGCAGGGTCGCCAAACTCTAGACCAGGATGCCCAAAGCCACATCCAGCCAACCTCCAGCATCCCTTCCATTTCTATGATTCAAATATCTTCCCTTTTGACTCGCAGCATCTTCAGGACTCTGCCACTCTACGTAGTTTAACTCTCATCGACAACCACTATACCTACCCCATCCACATTGGCAGCAGACATCAGGAGAGAAGAGATTGTTCTTTGTAGCAGCTGGAAAGAAGAAATGAACATGTTTTGATCATGACAAAAACTACAGGCGTTGGAAAACATTCTGTTTACAGATAAAACAGTCACATTAAACAAAGATAAATTATTCCATTATAGCATAGTTTTATTTCTCCAGGCAAAAAAGCAGGGGAGAGGTGACACAAAAGATGCTTAGAATAGGAATGTGAAAATACAAGTTCCTTGCAGGCTGTGGGGAGCTTCCCAAGAGCCCAACCCAAGAAAACCCTTCTGCTGGACCTGATGCTTTATTTTTTTGGGTACCTCAGGCTGAGCTCAATGACGGTGCTACTTGATCAAGATCTGGGACCTGGATTCTCTGTGCAATGACACACAAGTCCAGCATTAGATTAAATTATGGGATACTCTTACATCTTTTCTTTTTTCTTCTAAAAGAGCTTTTATAAAACTGCCATTTACAGTACTCATGTATCCACACATCTAGCCTCAATACACTTCATACACTGATGCTCATTTTTTGTCATACCTTCACTTTGACTGTACTTTGAGATTGGGATGGACAACTCAAGAAGACTTCCAGCTGCATTTTCAAAACGGGTGAAATGACAACTTCAGAGCACTGGTTGCAATACAGCAGTCCACTGAAGCGTGCAAATAATGATGGAAAAACACAAAGAATGGAAAAGTTATCAATCATTAAATCAAAACACAAACAAACAAAGAACAGCTTACTTATTTCCTAACCACTTTGCTGATAGGCTTCTAGTTGAAGAGCCCTGTTAAAAACTTCAGCTGATAACAGCAAATGGAGCTCTTCTGTTGGTGGACATAAGTAACATTAATGGAGGACCTAAACTCTTCTAGCAAAAGTATCTTCTTTTCTTATGTTCATACAACATGCGGGGAGGCTGTGATCTATACTCGACTCATTTAATAAAATATTAATCACATAGCCTTCTAAAAGTTATGGCCAAAAAAAAAGAGAAAAATATAGAGTTGGCCTAAATGATTTGTTGATTTGGACCCTCACTGAGCAGACACTCAACATTTGCAGCACGCACGCACTTAAGCCATATGCACAAAATTAAGCACAGGCACAAGCACTCAATGGAATATGGTCTTAAATAAGTGTTGATGCCACATTGTTCTCCAAACAAAGCAGAAGCGTCCTTGAGAATACAGAAAAAAGATCATGAAGTACACTGCTATGAGTACATGGATACCTCCTTGATTTTTGCACGACAGTAGCATGTAGGACAACTTTTGCTTTATTTTCATCTTTTCCCCCCAGAGGTTTTTCACAGCAGAGCACATGCAATGAAACCTCTTGTATTTAGGAAAATGGTATATATTTCAAGGGGACTGTAATCACCTTACTACTTCTGCTTTTTTAAAGTTTTCCCAATACAGAGAAGCCCCTTTCCTTCTTTTTACACTCAGCACTCTCTTACCTCCTCATGCTTTTATCCCACCAGGTATCTCAAGAGTAAGCTGGCTAAGTAACTGAAGGGGATACTCCCCAAGAAAATGCCAGTGTGATGCAGGCTGAACCTTTCACAAGGTAACAGGTCACATTTGTGACAGCTCTACATCCAAAATTATTCAATTTCCTCTTTAGAAAGGCTGTACATTTCATTGGTCTGAAAGGCATCTCTTTCACATTTATGTAAATCACAGCAAAGACCACAGCTTGCTACAAAACCGTGGTGAATTACTGACATAGAGGGTAACAATATTGGGTAAAAAAATACTTTTCAAGAAGCTTAAAATCAGGCCTGTGATTTTTCCAACCTTCGTGATTCTATGATTCTATGATTCTATGTGGCACGTTCATTAAAAGAAACACTACAATGCAGTAGGATTTGAAATCTTTATAAGCAAAAACTTAGCTTGGAAACTGTGGTAGCTACAAATTCAAACCATTTCATATCTACTTGTATCTTTCTTAATAAATTAATCTAACCTTGCTGGTTTTATCAGTTCATCAGCAATAAAAATACTACGTCTCAGTTCTAGGAAGGAACAAAGTGCAGCCTGTGCCTGCAGGAATTATTTCGTCACCTATTGCTGTTACGGCTACATCTGCAGAACACCTGGAATTCTACAGAGCACCTTGACTCTCACCTGTCCTGGGGATACAGTTCCAACTTTCCATTGCCACATCTGTCACATGTAGGCCAGGAGAAAGCAGTGCTCTCATTAACTCCAACAACAGTACCTGCAGAAAATGGTATTTTTATTTACAAGATAAGAGATGTAAGCTAGCAAACACAGACACTACTGGCTGAACAGCAAGTTTGGCCATTTTCAAAAACAATGATGCAAGTTAAACTCCATTAATAATAGAGTTATTCTTCATCTAGGCTGATTTAAGACAGATCAGATCTGACCCAGAGATTGAAGTGTGTGCTTAAGAAGGGAATGCCAAAGATACTTTGGACTAATACAAAGGGCCTAGCGAGTTTTGGCAAGAAAAACATTCTGAGTTTTATGAGAAGCAGTAAAGAGTTTATTATGCTTTATGGTAATGATATGCTGAAATAATTAGCACTGTTTATGGAGAAAATTCTTATAAGCATTTCAAACTAAACATGGTGGAACAGCGGAAAGACCAAAACTACAGTAAAATAAGCCCTCAGTCTACTTGCAAAAGGTGCACAGACTAAAAATTCCAGCTCTTTTTGAAACAGAATCTCACAGTTGCATAATAGATTCAATGAAATAAGCCCCTGGAGACCAGGGAGCATTTGCACCGTCTGTAAAACAGGTTGTTAATCTCTTGTGTTCCAGACTCTCCTGAGACAAGGGCTGTCAGAAGGGACGAAATGATACATAAACAGCAAACCCGCATTTCCTTTGGGAATTCAAAGGACAGCAAGCCTGAAGATCAGGAAAGCAACTTCTCAGATGTAACATTTATGACCCGATTTCCGTATATATAACAAAATAACATGGATTACACTTTTCTTTTTTTTTTTTCTTTTCTTATATTTAACTTCTTGGACTGTAGCAGGAAAAAAATTGTGATGCACTGTGGGTTTCTATCAGCATTTGCAAGATAGACAATTCCTGCCACAGCACGGGCTTGCTCTCTTGCTAATGGAAAAGAAAAAACTGATTATTTTGCTGAGTTTTTTTCCTTTTTTGTAACAACCTTTTTTTTTTTTTTTTTTTTTTTTAAATCCCCTTTTCTGACAGATCTGTTTCTCTCTACACATTTCAAATTGGGAGATTGGCTTTTTACATGGCAGAGAGTAATATGACAAGGCAGAACAGTTTCAAGCTAAAAAAGGGGAGATTTAGATTTGATGTCAGGAGGAAATTTTTCACTGAGAGGGCAGTGAGGCGCTGGCACAGCTGCCCAGAGAAGCTGCGGTGCCCCATCCCTGGAGGCACTCAAGGCCAGGCTGGATGGGGCCCTGGGCAGCTGAGCTGGTGGGGGGCAGCTCTGCCCATGGCAGGGGGAGGCTTTAGGGTCTTTTTCAACCCAAGCCACTGTATGAATTTTTCTGCCAGTTGTGTGCCATACTGCAACTACAGGATGCCAGTGCACAGGCAACACAAATCCATTTGAGGAAGATGTATCAGGATCATTCTGACATGCCTACTGGAGAAGTTTATTTTGATGAAAACATGGAGTTCCCTCATGAGATCACCAGAGATCACTGAAGTCAGAAGAAATACAACTCTAAACAGCAGCATGTCTAAGAATCCTGCAACTGTCTTTTGCATCCTGCATGCAAAGTGATTTTTAAGCTGCTGATCATCTGTACATTTTTGTAAATGTTTTAGATTTTGCTTGTTTTTTTCAAACCTTTTAGACATTCTCCTAACATCCTTCTTTTAAATGGAAACACACACAGCCAAAATTAGCTTTTCACTTCCACGCTACTCTTCTGGATTGTACCTGACAACACTGAGAAGAAACTGACAATAGCTCAATTAGGACAACACCTGGAAAAACAGATCTTGAGTGAGGGATGCAAGGAAGGGCTAAGGACTCAAAGTAACACTCTGGTTGAAATGCTCCAAAAAAGAAAAAAAAGTGTGTACACAATCAGTTGTCTGTTAGTTGGTTACCCTGATTAATAGATAGGAAAGAAAAAAGATGCAGTCCAAAAGCCCTAAGTAAGACAACTGACTCCATTTTGTTCAGACTGCAAATAGGGAAACTGAAAAAAAGAAACCTGAGTAAAGGCTTAAAGACAAAAATATCCAGTGTAAAAATTCAATCACTGGATGTGAATCATACACTAGGCAAACATCATTAATCACGTAATAGTCCCATGCAGCATACGTGGTATGAACTAGAATTTGCTCGTAAGCATGGTTAAGATTAAGAGCAGTTCTCTACAGTGTGGACTGCCAGCATTTAAGTCACACTGACTGCTACTATATGGCAAAAAGACATTACAAATCACTCTGGCATGAATAGTGAAAACAAATCCATTAACCCTCGGCTCACAGGTGAGAACCACAGATTGATCCTGGAAAGAAGAATAAACTGCCTTGTGGAAAGCAATCACAGGTTCTTACCAGGTACCTGAGTGGGTGTGATCGGGCCTTCATGAAATTTGTGAGAAACTCAGTGGCTATGCTTGTCACCCATTTTTCTGATGGGGGAGAAAGCATTTGACCAAGTATAACTGGAAGACTTCATTTAGCAGAACACTGTTACAAACGCATGAAGACAATCTGCTCCAAGGGCTGTTCCACTGATTAAAAGGAAGCTTTTCTAGTGAAGGTTGAGAAACTACTCTGCCAGCTCCCTGAAAGGCAGAGGTGCAGCAAGTAGGGCAAAAGAGCACGAAGGAGCAACACTTCAAGTAGGGGTAAAGAAAGCCTTTGCAGCTCCTTTCAACATTTGATGAGAGGACGCCTGCACACAGCACACGAAGGTGACCAACAGTAAGGGAAGTAAAAGGAGGACACAGAGAAAAACAGTGAACACAGCAATCCTGCTGCTCACTGAAAGTCAGATTAACCATTTGGTGAGTTTTTTATAGATGAGACAGGGGTGGTGAGTGACCAAGACAATTTTTCTCCATCAAATTCATGTTCCCACCAATAAAATAGTGCTAATATTATTATTTTCATTTCTTTTCATTAGAAAGCTGTAAGCTGTAAGCATTAGCTACCAAATCCCAAAGCAGTGGATATGCTTTAAATGCAATTAAATAATTTTAGTTAGTTACACAAAAAAGTGAAGGTTGCAATCTATATATAGCAGTAGCATAGGGTTAAGGATGATGCTTCATATTCTACATTGGTTCAAAGGTGTGGAAACATACTGATAGTGGCTACCCCAGGCAAATTTCATATCAAGCAAGACGAGATTGTAGGATTAATTTATCCTGATGTCATCCTACCATCTTTAATAAAGAACCAGGAAAGTGTTACACCTCTAACATACGTAAAGTAAGCGTTTGTTTACACATGGATTACAAAGATGTCTTTGCCTTGCTTTACTGAAAAAAAAAAAGGACAGGCACTTTTGCTTTATATTCACTGTGAATGGGATGAAAGAAGACAGGTGCTTTGGGTAACCTAGTTATTAGTGTAACCTAGTTGCAGTGAGTGAGGGCAGAGGAGCAGTAACTCTTAGCATAACTACTGCAGAAGTGAAAATAAAAAGCATTTCCTACCCAGTGACAGAAATATCTTTCAAGTACCTCACGGTATCAGTGGAAGATGTATATAATGACCAAAGCTTAGAGAGCCTGTAGTTGTGCTTGTTTTTCATTATATAGAGTTCAATGTTTGTCACTTCAAGATGGCTTATATATCAATCATGGAGGCATTGCTAACTTGTGGCTCTACCCTAGAGAAGGTAAGTTTAGTGGTTTAGCTTTGAGTGGTTTAAAACGGACTTTCTGGTGTATTGCTGTATAGTTGAGAGGATTAATTTGTAACTACTATTTGCTCTTATTTCAAACATCATTTCAAACATTCAAGTGAATACTTGGAAGTGTAAATGTAAAATGGTGTCAAGAATTTTGTACAAGGGCTGCTGGAATTGTAAGAGTTAGATTAAAAAGGGAAAATGTCTTTAAAAGCCAAAAGTTACTTGGCTTTTAAGGACTTTTCCCTACAGGCACTCTGCAAATTGGGTGCTTAAGAAGTCTGAGCAAACAGTGTTAGAAGATACTGTGTATGAAATGTTTCTACACAATTCAGAAATATTAGAAAATACACTGCAATAAATGTTTCTGCACGGTTAGCAGTAGGACTACACTATCAGACAAGGCAATGATCCAAAGTGGCTGGTGAGCGAATCTCAGCTAAGTTAAGCTTGGTGACTGTGGTGAAATACTAAATTGCCTCACTGCAGCAAAGCTCCAGGAAAATTAGACAGTAACCCCTATCATTCAGAGTCTGGTTGACATATCTTCTCCATCTGCCTGAAAAATATTGTTATCCCTTACTGTTGCCAGTATCAACATGGTGATGTGAACAGAAGGCTTCTAAAAGAAGATGGTGATGGAAGGAATATGACCAAACAGACTGCACATCAAACATTTATTCTGGGGCATCAGTGAGTGGGAGCAGCAGGCAGGCAGAATTTGGCCAGCAAAAGACAAACAAAGCCCACAAAGAAGCACAAAAACTTAAATATCCTAATGATCTACAGCAGTACGGTGCTTTTTCATCCTTGCACCCTGTTTGTGCAAGAAATCAATACGAGAACCTGAAAGATTAAAGTGAACACAAATAATTAACCACATTCATTTCAGAAAAGGCCAATACGAACCTCTCACAGCACAAATGGAATTGGCCTGTGTGGTAGAATCCAGCTCATCGAGTTTGACAGGGCCAGGCAGCTCACTGAGGTCAGCATCAGCAGCCGAGCACAAAAGAGGCTTTTGTAATAAGAGAACAGTACGTTCAACACAAATAATCCTACCTGCCAACAAAGACATTTCAACTCAGTACAGTAACAAGGAAAAAGGTGACCATGATAACTGTCATGGCCAATAATGACATTTGTCACTGCCAGCTACTAAACAGATGGATAGACTCTACCAGGTTTTCTCAATGACAAAATATTTTGCTTTCAGTGATACATGCAGCATGCTCTTGTTACATTTTGTGACTCTTGGGGAAAACAATTCTCTAAAATTCTAACATGTTACAAAAGCAAAGCAGATTCCATCCAAACTACACTGTACCATGCTGGAAACAGAAAGTTCTTGTCTCTTCCCTATTAAAAGGTTGGTCGCCCTCAAGGTTGTTCTATTTATATTTGTTTGTTTAAGATTACAAAGCGTAGGTGCATGCAATACTTTATTCTCCAAATAAACGAAACCAAAGCAACCTCAGTTAGCAAGGGAAAACAGACTGATTAAAGGATGTGGTGACAGGACTCACAGCCACTTACATAGTTGTATTTTGGAAATGAGCAAAGGCATGAGAGGTGAATTACACAGGCGTCCATCACACAGAAGGATGGGTGAGCCTCATTCATACAAATGACTGAAAAAGAATGTAGACTGAACCCCATCTCACAGGACCTGCTTGGCACCCAAGAGCTCACAGCCGAAATGGTAAAAGAAAGCCTGTAATGGCTTTTTATCTAGGGACATGCAAGTCTTTAGGTTCATTGCCTTACTCCTTTTGCAGGTTGTAAGTTCAATAAAACAAGATTCTGCAATCAAATATCAATACAAATGAATATCAAAACAAACGAAAGTAAGTTTCTTAATATTTCTGAATCTTCTGTCAGCTAGCAAATTTGTTTGAGGTTGGTCTTTAGATTCAACAGTCATCAAGGAAGACTGATAGAAATATTGGTGAACAAATGGTAAGATCACTTAATTTCTTATTTTCTTGGAAGACAAAGAAAAAAAGCCCCAAACTAACAACAACAGAAGAGAAACCTTACAGAAATCCTCCAATTACAACCCCTTTCAGGTTTCTCATCCCAAACTTGCAATGTTTCATCTTCATCTCAGAGTGGAAATCTATACAGGTTATGTATTACAGTGTTAGTAACGTGGGTGTTTATTCAGTTTGATTCCAGTTGCTTCAAAACCACGCGTAAAGCTTACCATTTCCCCACAGGGCATCCTTGAAGAAGATGAATCGTGAGGCAACATTGAGGGCTTCTATGATTTCCGTACTGAGAACACATGATGCAGTGACTGACACAGCAACAACTTTTGGAATTCCACGAACTACACTTTGCAAAGCGAAGTCAGTCACAAACAACAACATCTCTCTTTGATTTACAGGAACACTGTGTTTTGTCTATGATTTAAAAAATAAAAAAATTCAAAATTAGAATGCAGTCATTAATTTTTGGAAGAAGAAAAGACAAGTAACACACTCATCTGTAAGCAACTAATAAAACTGACAAATTACTACACTTACGGCCAGTAAAGAAGAATGAATCAGGTTTTTCATTGTTCCTTAATGCAGTTACAGATTATCCTCTCTACCTTCAGTTAACTTTCCAAAGCTGACCCACTGAGATCTTGGTGCCCTCTCTATCAACTGTCGTGTTTTATCGTGACTCATTTGCACATGAAAATAAATGCCATAAAAAGTTAATTGGATGTTTCTATGAACAAAGACTAAAGTAATTTTTCCCTTAAAAAAGAAAGGCTAACATCACTTGTATTATTAAGAAAATGTTCTATGCACTGTTGTGTGATTCTGTCTAATAGCTCCTGCAAATACAAAGCTGCTGGGTTTTCTTTCTGCACATCCGCAGGTATTTGAATGATACATAGAAGTGTGAAAGGAGATAACTCATAAGAAAGAAACGCAGGAAATCACAATGACAATGCAAGTTTTCTGCCTAAGACAGGTACAAAAATTAAGGTATATCAAAACTAATGATGTCACAACCAAAATAACTACATTTCACATTGTATTTCTTCGTATCTGAAAACAGTTACTGCTAAGTCAGTAGCGTTTTAAAACACTGACACTGTGATGATGAACAGGACAGCTTAGATAGACATGAATTTACACATCAGGGATTAGTCCAAAGGCTCTAACAAAATTAGATAGGTCGATAATGAGAGGTTTCCTTCTTCTTTTTTTTTGTTTTCAACACAACTGTTATAATATGTACACATGTCTGTGATTTTTCCCATAGTTTAGAAAAAAATGAGCTTAGTAAGATTATATTTCATATTTACCAGTCCAAGCAACTTGTAATTTTAAAAATTCTAATATTTTACAATATTTAAGTGAAATTATTTTAGTTTTGCCTTAAAAGGGCTTTGTTACTATTTTTAATTAGTCCATTGATTAAAAATCATAGGACATTTTAATACTGCAATGATTGGAGAGACTCATATCACACAAGTATTTTATCCTTAAAGTTACATTTCTGTGGCACAAGGCAACGCATTGAGAACTCCGACTTTTTATCTTCAGTTAAATTCACACCTTGAAAAAGTTAACTGGACTAAAAATAACTTCTGCCCGTAATGGCAGCTCTTAGGGCAAATACAGTAATCAGGAGTAATGACAGATATAATTCATAACTCAGATATTATGGTTATGCCTTAACGTAAGTTGCCTAATGCATTTACATTATTCCTTTCCCTCATAACTACGTGCATTTGAGTACCTCCTCTGTGCAGATACCATTAAAGCAGCTTCAAAAGGAAGATGCTTTACAGCTGTCCCATGAGAATTACTAACACATTAAAAGCTGTCTTTCAGAAGAATCATCCAAAAAAAGCAAATTATAATAACAGCAAAAATTTCAACTTATATAAAATCATCATCTTGCTATGTGTGACAATTTGTTCTGAACAGAGAGGACACAACAGACAAATAGCAGCAGGACTGAGTTACAAGGAAGGACAGCTCCTTAACCACAGATGGAATATATTTCCCCATATTCCTTCTGTACCACAGTACTGAGCAATAATAAAAGCATATTCCCATTCCTCCTTCACACAAACGAAGCATCTCAGAACACTGTTGTTTCAGTGTTTTATTAACACCACTTTTAAAGTATATTTGAATTAACTCATGTTGCAGATTATCTTTGCTGAATGAACTAAACCATAGTCCCTACCTCAGTTATCATCACCGAATGATTTTGCACGTGAAGAATAAATCCTCTTGGGAAAGGTAACTGCAATTAACAAGCTCATAACTTTCTGGAAGGATTAGGCAAGCAATACACTAACAGCAGGTAAATACCATGAGCTTTCTAGAGCAGCAATGCAGAGTGTTACTGAGCGCTTACAAAGATGAGGAACTCCCATTGCTTTTCCAATACTACTTTCAAAAAAATTATAAAAAATCATGCTGTTCACTCACGGAAATCTACTGCTTATAGTTCACCAAGCAAATTCAGGAAACAGCTAGTAAAACCTCAAGAAAGAAGGAATCACAGATTTCTTCCTTCTTGTTAGATGAATTTCTACTCTTCAAAGTCACATCTGTTCCTGCATTCTTCATCTTTTCTCTAATTTAGTGATGAAGTGATTCTACACAAGAATGTTGATGACCTCCAGTGTCTCAGATGTAGATGTTCCCTAATACAAAAATGCTTGGCTAGGATATCACTAGTCTGTAATTGATTTATTTCTGTTAATTGAACAGATGCCACAGAATTCCACATATGTACATGTCTTGCTAGCATGTACATTTCTGCTAGCAGCCTGAAGATCTCCCGTTAAGCTACCCTAATTTTGCATGTTTAAAAATACTCTGCTGTCACTTAGTATGAAGAAAGCACTGCTGAGTAGTAAGAGCTGCCCTTCTCACAAGCTAAAGCTACTCCCTGCCTAACAATCAAATCACAACTCATAGGCTGCTGAAGCAAGAGGAAAAGACCTACATTACATTTATGTCCCATACTGCTGGGAAGCATTCTCAACTATTTTGCTGTCTGTTCTGGAGTTTCTTTGTGTTTGGTTCATATGCTTTGATTCATGCTTTATTTTCTGTGGTGCTGATGGACAACTGCAAATTGTTTTCCCCAGAGCTAGCTGTACTGAGGGTCCAGTTGCCAGGAAAGAGTAAATAAATCAGCAGCCAAAAAAATCCTTCAACTACTGAGGGAGTTAGCAACATTTCAAAAGGAAGTTGTAGCATAATTCAGAAAAAATCAGAAACAAATAAAATGTAATTACAAGCTTCCCAGCACAGCATGGACGGCAGATATATTTACCTAAAGTTCCTCCTTTCTACTTGTGGGACCCTAAAAGCCAAGTTTGCCTGAGGGGCTTCTGCTGAACAACAACAGTCCACCCACTTGTCTGCAAAGAGCAAAACCGTATCTTTATAAGACCACCACCAGTTACATTCTATACCAACTCAACTGACCAATAACTTTTCGCTGTGTACATCTAAGGACAGCACTTACCTACAAACTGATTTTAATTGCAAGACTAAATTAACTGTCTGTGAGCTCCTTTATTAGGGTGAAATATTACTTTGGGCTAGATGGCAATTTATTCAAATATAATTCACCTTCTAGAGTAAATGGTACTGAAACTGAAGTTCATTTTACCCACTCACGAGCGTTTTGGACCTGGTGATCATTCTTCTTGCACAGCTCTTGAAGGTAATCCGGAAGGTTTTTTTACTCTCCCCTAAACAAGATAAATGCTGGCCTCTTCACATAAACATTACGTTAATTTTATGTCAATCTCATTGCTAAATGAACAGATTACCTGTGGCCTTAGATACAGTACTCGTGCCCAAAAGCTACAACGTTCATGACAATCACCCATCTGAAAAAAAAGGTACAAAAACAGGGAATGAGTCAAATATGGTAAGTGAAATTCAGTGGTACAAAACATCGGTTACCAGACTTTGAAAGCAACTTACCTGAAGAATTTCCTTTAGATTATGCACAGTTGGTGGCTGGTACAATTTAGAAATCGTCTCTTCCTCATCCACTTCCATGTGTATTTCACCAGACTGAACAGTCAGAACATAACAGAAGCTGGGAGGAGGCAGATTAGTTGTCATCTATTAAAAAGGAGAGAAAAGAAATGTGACCTTAAAAAAGGCATTTCAATTTGGCCAGTTAGTATTATTTTATAATAATGTCCCAAATGAACCACACAATTTTCTTATTAAGAGCGATGGGAAAACAAAATAATGACTGTCTAAAGTAGAAGCTGAGATAACAAAACAATATTCACAAATTCTAAGTGAAATCAGCCTGTGTATCATTCTTTCCATAATCTGACATCGATCCTCATCACAAAAACATCTTGTGATTTGGCACGCTTGGCAAACACTGCAACTTTTTCAAGGTGACAGTGCTTGTTTTGCATTTTTTTAGTACGTGGTAGGGGTGCCCTGATTATTTATTTCTCATCATCCATAACTTTTCTGAGATTTGGGGACTTCTGCATGTGGGTGGGTTTTTGTGATAGTAAACAGCTGAAGAACTTTAAAAGCTGCTAAATTAAATCCAGGACAGCACAAGGAGATAATGAAGAACAGGAACTCAGCAACTACAAGAACTGCTTTTTTTGTGCTATGCCGAATTTTTCTTCTCCCCTTAAAAAGTATTGTGACGTAACAACCCTATCTCCATTTAAAGAATGAGAAAGGCTTCTGAGAAATAAAAGATGCTACACTACAGTAATTTTTATTTTGGACTCGGTAAATATTCTTATAACATTGTTAGTTGTTAATAAAGCATTTCATTTAATACAATAAATACAAATCTGCTAAAGACAGCTGTATATCCATATCCAAATAATCTGTCTATAGCAAAAAAAAAAAAAAAAAAAAAAAAGGCACGAGCTCATTATTTGCCTCTGACAGCACTAAAAAAGATATGCAAGTCCGTGCCACAGATCTCTTTGCAGAAACTTCATCAAATAATTGGCAGTATGATTTAGGCATTGTTGCTTAAATCACAGAATCACAGAATGGCCAGGGTTGGAAGGGACCTCAAGGATCTTGAATCTCCAACCCCCCACCACATGCAGGGATACCAACTCCCATGTAATACCAGACCAGGCTGCCCAGGGCCCCATCCAATCTGGCCTCGAACACCTCCAGGGACGGGGCATCCACAGCCTCTCTGGGTAGCCTGTTCCAGCACCTCACCACTCTCTCTGTAAAGAACTTCCCCCTGACATCCAACCTAAATCTCCCCTCCCTCAACTTAAAACCATTTCCCCTTGTCCTGCAGTTATCAACCCTTTCAAAGAGTTGATTCCCCTCCTTTTTTTAGGCTCCCATTAGATACTGAAATGCTGCAATGAGGTCACCCCGCAGCCTTCTTTTCTCCAGGCTGAATGGGCCCAGCTCCCTCAGCCTGTCTTTGTAGGGGAGGTGCTCCAGTCCCTTGATCATCTTCGTGGCCCTCCTCTGGACCCTCTCCAACAGCTCCCTGTCTCTTTTGTACTGCAGGCTCTACACCTGGACACAGTATTCCATGTGGGGCCTCACAAGAGCAGAGTAGAGGGGGACAATCAGCTCCCTGTCCCTGCTGGTCACCTCTCTTTTGATGGAGCCCAGGATAACATTTGCTTTTTGAGCTGCAAGGGCACGCTGCTGGTTCATGTTAAGTTTCTCATCTCTTAAGACCCCCAGGTCCTTCTCCACAGGGCTGCTTTCACGGACCGCTCCTTCCAGCCTGTACGGATGCCTGGGATTCCTCCGGCCCAAGTGCAAAACTCTGCACTTTGCCGTGTTGAACCTCACCAGGTTCACCTGGGCCCACCTCTCTAGCCTCTTGAGGTCCCCCTGAATCCCTTCCTTCAACCGTGTCGACCGCACCACTCAGCCTGGTGTCGGATGTGCTTTCAAAAACTATGTAAAACTATGCTTCTTGTACAAGGTAAAATGTATCTCAGCTAAAAAACCTGCACTTTACCAAAAATTTGCAGAAGTAGAATACATCTTGATACCCTGTAGAATGGATTGGTATTTAAACCTGTGGCAGAAGTGTAAACTGCATGATTATGGAAAGTTTTCATCATTTCTAGGTTGTCAATAAAATAGAGAAAAAGAAGAACAAATGAAAATAGCAATGCTGAAGAATATTTAAAATTTTTGCTCCATCCGTGTAAATTTTCATTGTTGTCCACAGTATTTTAACATACAAAACAATCCTCTCCTCTGAGACTTCTAAAATGTGTGGATGAAAGGGAGAATCAAAGCAAGAATGGTAGTTTCATTCATTTCCAGTCTTGGTTTTATAACCAAGTTCTGAACTTCTTATTATTCAAAATAAATCCCTGTACAATCCCAATAACTCTAGATTGCAGCAAGAAGAATCTCAGAGTTCAGAAATAGCTAGGAATAACTAGGAATATCCTCTTGCGAAGTCCTCTGTTTTTAAAATTTGTTTATTTCCAGATTTTTCTTCCTAGACTCTAAAATAAATTTTTAATATCAGAAATTTCCTCCCCTAAGAACAGCTGTAGAGGAACAGCTATAAGACAGCACAAGCACTTGGCTACCAAGATTCTCAAATGAGCTTTTCATTTCAGATGCCACTTGATTTGACAGAACTCCTTTTCAAATACAAAAGCTAATTAAATGAAAATTAAAGATGCAATTTTGGATTGGAAAATGTATAATAATATACTTGAAATCTATTTTAATACATATTAAAATTTAATAAAAATTCATGTTGGGAATTTTCACCACTTCCCAAAATCACAGAAACTTTTATTTCTTTTAGTAGGCAATTTTCGTTCTTATATTTTGACTGCCTTCACAACAGGATGGACAACTGTCAGCCAGAATCATCCTAACTGAAAAGAGACTCGATTCCATCAGTTGGTCTGTCCTCATGGGGACTGATCTTCAGAAGAGTGTTTTCAAATATAAGGCTGAAAAGTTCTTCAAAAGAATGTATCATTTATGCATGTAGATTTATCAAATAGCGTGGAGCCAGCTGGTATCTTTTCCTCCTGTGAGGAGAGGAAATGAATAATTTGGCTGGATACTCTATCATTTTAGTTCTAGATGGTTAATAAAAGTTTGATTGCATCAGATTGGAAAGAAGCTGCTGATCCAGAGAATCTCAGGTTGGCCTAGGATAGATGGTGGAACCAACAAAACAAACATCATTAGATAAAGAGAGAATCTGATTCCCCAGACACGTTACACTACTAAGAAAAACAGTAATTATAGTGAAAAAGTACATTTCCATAATAACAAGACTTACCATTTCAGAGTCTTGACTTTGCCCAGGAACTTTTACAGGCACTACTGGAGGCCACAAACTGTCTATCAGACTAAAAAGTCCTAACGCCCTTCAAAAAGACCAATAAAATTAGCTTTAGAGTGGTTTCCACTGTTAGATGCTGTACTATAAAGATTCATTAAGAAATACAATTTAAACCATTGCATGATTATGAAAACAATTTTAAATTATATTTGTTTTCTACAAGCTGGTTTTGATTTGGTCTAATTAAATCTCCATAATTTCTGCTGCATGGTGGAGAGGGAGGGAAGGGACACATCGCATACAGTGACTAGCAAGTCATATTTAATTCTTTCCCATGAACAGCCTGTGACATGGTAAAATCCAGGGCAAGTGGGGTACGTGCTAGTTTGGGAAGGACACAGACACCAGTACAACATTGAACAAATAGCTTTTAACTATTTAGACGGCAGCTTGAACAAAATGTTTTGCTTCTAACATCTTCATTTCTTGCTTTTCTCTAACACTGATTGCCACTGCTGTTAGGAAAGTTAGCAATGAGATAGGAGTAGAAAGACAGGCAAGATTTTGTTATCTGAAGTGTACCCATGCCTTAGAGTACAAATGTGCAAAGAACCATCCCCTTCCTATGCAGCTGCTCATTTGGTTATGATTCTTTTCTTTTGCAAGTTTTCCACCTTCAGTTTAGAAACAAACAAAATGAACAGCCCTGCATACTAAGATTAACTGCTGCAAACCCTTCAGCTTTCGCACGCAAAGCTGCGATGTGCAGCAGTTCAGTGGCTGGCTTGTTGGTTGATGTGTCATCCATGCAGTAAAAGCAGGAACATCCAAGGGAGAGGCCAAGAAAATAGCTGAGGGAGGGGAAAAAGCTACAGATAACCAACTTGAAGAGGCGTGCATTTTTGAGTTTAAGCTCTCTGTTATCTTGTCTTAGCTCTCCGTGCATGTTCTGTGTGGTTAAAGCACAGAGATCTGGATTTTAACCCCACAGTGCCTCTGAGAACTGTCTATTTGTTCCTCCAATTATGAAAGCCACCACTTCCAAAACAATTCTAAAATGAAGTACAAAACTTGCTGAAGGTAATCTTAGGCTCTAACCAAAAGCGCTTTGAAGAAAAAAAGGCAGGCTCTTGTTCTTGACTGAAGTACACTGCAGTATGCTGCTTCTTTTCAAGGAGTAACAGATCTCCTTTACAGTTCTGCTTTTAATTCACTTCTGCTTGAGCTTACCTAATTCCATATTTCCCTCACCCCTCTTTTCAGTCTTAAATGCCTGTGTTTTGGGTATCTAATGTCAGTCAGCTTCTTCCCATATTTTTTCATAAAGCAGCAGGTATCTCATATGAGAATGCTAACAGCGATGCCTATGGACCAATACTATATGAATTTAAATCTCTGGGAGTGACTGAATCTCAAGGGATAATGCTTTCATTTTAAGATTTGGGTAACCAAATGACAGGTTAAAATGATGCTGCTGCTGTCTGTAGTTGTGTTCCCCACAGTGATTCAGAGACCAGGAACAGAAATACGCTACCCTTCTACAAAAGCGAGAGAAGAAAAAGGAAGAGAGAAGAAAAGAATTTGCTGACTTATATGGCATCATTATTCCTGTAAAAGGAAAAGGCTGAGTACAGATCCTGAGGTTTTTGTTTTGCATTTTGTTTTTAGCAGAATATTACAACATACAAAGCAACTCTTCTTAGGTATTAATCAGACTTTAAAGCAAAAATGACCACATCTCAATTTCTTGACAAGGCGACATTTTCAGTCTTCTACCATACAGAAAAGATCCTTCTCTGTATTTGCAGGAGGGCCAGTGCCCAGTGGAGCAAACTGCCCTTGTTAAGTGGGACACAAGGAAGGAGAACTACTGAAGCAGAGAGCTTCTGTGTGACAAAGGAAGCTAAACAAGTGATGTTACTCACTTGACACTGAGTATAGGGGCAGGATATGTATAATAGCATGCTGCAAATTTTGTGTTTGTTTGTATATGTGCATTCAGAAATCATGTATTTATCATCTTGCAGTCCAGATATAATCACATCTCTGCACAGACCTTACATTGATCTACCAGTGAAAATCTGTGTTTTTAAGTTTGCACAAGCAATACGGAACTATCTCCCAGTCTTTAGTTCTCTTCTAGCTTGCAACTCAATGTCAGAACATCTATGACAGTACTGTGTCCTTTTGGAGGAGTTCATAAACTGCTTGAGCTAGAAGTACTTAATTATTACTGAATTACAGTATTTGTTTACAAACAGGGGGAGGAGCAGCACTGTGCAGCGAGTGTCTCCTAAACATCTTGGACTCATCCTTCTCTTTGACTCCAGTCAGGCAAACCACAAGTACATTTGCCACCCAAAGGATGTGCAAGTTCCAAGACACATCATGCAGGGATGAGGGGATTCTCCTCTGTAGAAAGGGGAGTTCTGCCCTTGAGCTGTCCCTGATGGGCCCACGAATGTATCAGTCAGAGTCCCTGGTGAGGGGCTCCCCTTAACTTCACCCACTCCCATGCCCCCAAGAAAATTAACTCTCTCTTTACACTTATGGACTTTGACTTGCAGAAGGATGAATAGGGGGGGGTAGGGGAGGGAGGCAACCACAGTGGAGAAACGGCAAGACATTGTGTCCTCCTCTGCAGAAAATCATTATCCTTGTGGAAATAATAAAATTCATTCTCTTTATTGGGCATGCAACACTCAAATCCCACTTCAATCTGACTTGAACAATGGGTTATTTTATCCAATAAATGTATCCTTCTTCAGATGTAGAATCGGGACAAGAGATGAACAGCTGGCTCTGTGCTACAGTGAGGAAACTTGGTTAGCCCTGATGTGCACAAAGAACCTTTCTCATTACAGAAGGCAAAATAAAAACCTAATGATTTAGATCCATGAGAGTAATCACTAGTCACTATTTCAAAAAGTATATGTAATATTTTTATGACAACAGTATAGACTTCTAAAAAATGAAGAATAAGAAGTGAAAAGAAACAAGCACACGATTAGAAGAAGAATTTTTAACCATTAAAATACTAAATTATTTTAATTATTAACATTTGTATTACTGAGATGACAAGGACTTTATTGTAATATTCTATAATCTTCCTTCAAAAAAAAACAAGGAAACAGGAAACAGACAGAAGTTACCTTAGATTCTAAACAAAAGATTAAATCTTCTAATAGCATGTCAAACTGCAATTGTCTGTTTGATAAAAATCTTTTTGACCCATACTAAATATGTATTTGTCCTGTACTTATCATTGACATAGCAAGATCACAAGTAATCCAACAGAGTTTTAAAATATTGACTTTTGTAGAAGTGTGGACCTTGGACAGACAGGTCGCCCGCGTACAGGTACACTTCCCTCCTGTAAATCAACACCTTTAAGCTTTGCTAAAACACAATGATACTGTTATATACAACATCTGTGTGTGTATACACACAGACGTGAGCATGTACACATGACATAGGCTGTTGGCAAAATAATTACTTTTAGTATTCTAGATTATTTTTATTATTCAATATGCTCAAAATACATCCTCTTAGATTTTGCTTGCTAAAATGTCTTTTCTGTGTATCAATAAGTGCAAACTGCGTGTTATGTACCCAGACAGCAATCAGAACATTTTAAAGATTGCCCATGACTGAGAAAATGCAAAATATGCTTGCAGCACGTGCAGGAATTAATCCTGACCTATTAGCAAATCATCTTGTCTGATAGTTGCACTACTTGCTGGAGAGTGACTGATACTAACAAAATAGCATTTACTTTTCCATCCAATAATTCTTGTCATAGATGATGACTGTGCTGCCCAGTACACAATAAGTTGCTTTCTTTTGCTCATCTAACTATCTTCTTTAATTTCACAGCTCAGTAGATAACAGAAGTTACCTTCTACTAGCCTTCCTAGCTTGTTCTGCCCTTCACTGTGAAGTCAAATGGCATACATGCATATGTGCACACAAACACATATGTTTGCCCTATGATTTTTGATAAAAAAACATACAAATAAAAAAGTCCTTGTAGTTATACTTAGAAACCTGGTAAATTACAAATCTGTATCTACAGTCTCGTTACATCCCTGATCCCGTGGACATTTCATACTATAAGTTATACTGAAAAAGTCGAACAACTTGAAATTTTCAGAGCAGTGTTTCACTGGTTTTGTTTCTTAAGTTATACTAAGCAGTTACAGTGTCAAACAATACTCTCATCTGAACTGGGCAGATTTTGTTTGTTTCTCTCACAAGCATGAAGTTTCATCTACAGTTCTGGTCCAGAAGCGGTGCGTGTGATGTGCCTGACTCAATTTTTAAACAGTACAGATACACAGCTATGATTTTTGAGCAGAAAGCAGCTTATAGTTTGGTGGATTTTTCCATTTTAATAACAACCCCACAGAATACATCAGAAACACCAAAGACGATCTAGGAAGAAAACAATGCCTCTAACTATGAAAGAAGAAAGACTAAGTAGAGGAGAGGAAGAAGATAGGATTCTCCACCAATATCTTCCACAGCTTTGACATGGCACTTCTCTGTTTCCTGCTCTGTTTCTCTCCCAATTTTAAATCTGAATGCAAACAGTTTTCTTTCAGCATTATTACTGTTGCAGACTCAATGTTAAGAACTCACAAATAAAAATAAAGCAACTCCTAGCCCTCTATGAAACTTTACTCAACATTAGAAAGAAATTCACTAGAAATCGCATAGGATGCATGACCCTGAACTACCAGCAATCCAATCATAATGGTGATGCTGCAAGCTACCTTTCCATCTAATTTACATACTAAGATCTGACAGTACACAACCTATGCAACATTGTGTTTTCTCAGACTTGCATCTGAGAACAAGCAACAGAAAAATAAGGTAAAAAACAGAGCCTATTAAACTAGCATCTCAGTTAAAACACAGATACATTAAATCACTTTGTTGACAAAATTATTAATATGCTTTAATAACTATCTTCTGTAATACAATAGAATTTATCCATGCTATACTAAAACAATAAAATTCTAAGATAAAACTCTTCCTACACTATGAGTATGCCTGTTTCACCCTGCAGTGCTGGTTACTGAA